TTATTTTCCAGAGCAGTTCACAAGTTTCCTTGGCTTTGTTTTTTAATGGAAGAAAGTGTGGAACTAGGCTATAGCCTGTCTCTAAGATTAATTATACTCTCTGCTTTTACAACTCTTTACAACAGAAGTATCCTTGCCCTAAGAAAATCTAACCTTTTTACTTCTGATTTTGATACCATGTAACTTTCCTTCTCAAAGAAGGCAACCCTCTTCTGCAATAATTTTTCCTTGTTATTACATAGTTTTATCAGCACTCAAATATCCTTCATCTTTTCTTCTAGAATAAAAATAAAACCATTCCTTGGCCTCAAAATCTGCCCATGTGTGCCCTAAACATCCTTTACAGCAACTATTGTAGAAAGAAGTTCACTCACTTTCTTTGCTTCTTTTATTTTTTTTTTCTCTCTCTCATTGAGTTTATTGGTACATTTTGGGTATACAGTATAGTTACATTCATCATTGAAATCTTGTACCTTTACATGACAGGTCTTGGTTCTTATTTTTTTCCCCTTGTCCTTGCCCTCCCTTCACCCCCTCCTCCCTTCCCTATTTACAAATACTTTATTTCCATTTTTTCATATTTTTTCTTTTCCCTTATTTCCTTTCCTCTACCTTTCCCACTTCCCCTACACCTTTAGCCCTTTTCTTCCTATTTCACATTGTCAATTATATCATTAGGATCTTATATACCATTATAGTTTTTCACACCAGAGAAACTATTCACTATGTTAACAGAGTTAAGGACAAAAACCACATGATCCTCTCAATAGATGCAGAAAAGGCATTTGACAAAATTCAACATCCATTCATTTTAAAAACCCTGCAAAAAATTGGAATAGATGGTCTTTATCTCAACTTAATAAAGGCTATCTATGAAAAACCAACAGCCAACATCATATTAAATGACCAAAAACTGAAAACCTTCATGTTAAAGTCAGGAACAAGACAAGGATGCTTACTATCAACACTCCTCTTCAATATAGTTCTGGAAACATTGGCCATAACAATTAGACAAGAGAAAGAAATTAAAGCAATAAAGTTAGAAAAGGAAGAAGTTAAACTGTCATTATTTGCTGACGATATGGTACTCTACATTGAAGACCCAAAAAACTCCACCAAAAGACTTTTAGACTTAATTGACACTTTTAGCAGAATAGCTGCATACAAGGTCAACACTCAAAAATCAATAGCCTTCTTGTACACAAATAACAGACTCACTGAGAGAGAAATTAGGGAAACAATTCCTTTCACGATAGCATCCAAAAAAATGAAGTATCTAGGAATCAATCTAACGAAGGAAGAAGACCTCTACACTGAAAACTAAAGCACTCTGAAAAAAGAGATCGAAGAGGATATCAAAAAATGGAAAGATATCCCCTGCTCCTGGGTAGGAAGAATCAACATAGTGAAAATGGCCATACTACCAAAAAAAACTGCTATACAGATTCAATGCAATGCCGATCTTTGCTGCTTTTCTTTACGGCCTTTCCTCAAAACATTCCAATTGGGTTTCCATCACTAATATTTCATGGCGACTGTTATGTCAAGATCATTAACAACATCCCTACTGCCATATCCAAAGCTCAGCTTGCTGTTTTCACCCTCTCAGTGGCAGCAGACATAAGTGAGCACTTCTGTATTCTTGAGGCTTTCTCGTGACTACATGGTGATGCCATACATAACACTTTGCTCCTTATCTAAAGCTTTGTGGTTAGACAAAGGTCCTCTTTAAAGAATTGAAAAACTGACTTATGAAATTTTTACTCTATTTACCATAAGGATGCTACAGCCTCCTCTTTATGAACAGAAATGCTATTTTAGTCACAGAATCAGTCATACTTCTGAGCAACTAGCTATTAGGAAGCATGTAATTGATCTGTTTTCCCTTTTTGAACTTATATAAGTTTATTATTCACTTTAAGCATATTACAGGACCTTATAGATTATATTTCAATATTCGTTATGACTTGTATTATACTCTAATTTTCCCATTTTTCTCTCCATTCAAAAGGTGAAAGCTGCAGTGGCATTTTGTAAGTGACCTTTAATCTTTCCAGCACCAAGGTCAACATTAATAAACATTTAAACAGTATATGGGAAATGACAGTATTAACATTACAAGGGATGTTTCCTTCTGTCTTTCTAGAAGTCTCTTTTCTAGGGATTTCCTTCCCTTTTTCCCATTATTTGTCTGACATTTCAGAGACTATATTTACTCTACAGCAGTTATCAATGTATTATACTAATACACACACTTTTTAATGCTTATATAATATGATATGGTGGGATGCTTAATAAGTAGTTTTGAAGATGTGATACTTTCAGATACCTATCTGACATTTCTATTGATGACAAAGTCAGTTACTGTGATACCATAGTAGCTTTTTGCCTACAATCCTAATTAAAGAAAAATTTAAATTACAGGCCAATGGAAACAAAATGTAATTTTTTTCTAAGTTCATGGACCCCTTGCATCTTATGCCTGCAGTGGGGGCAGGAAGAAGGTCCAGGAGGCTTCAGAACTTCTGCAAACGTTTCCTACTGTCCCCAGGTTGAAAATTCTGTCACATGGCTTAAGGTGATTTAATGATCTGACTCCAGTCACCACTCACACCAATTTTGCAATTCAGTCTGCCGAGTAAAACTCTTCCAGACCTCTGACAAGATAATGCTTTGTTGCAACACCTCTCCCCTCCATGTAGCAAATGCCCTATCGTCCTTCAGGTGACGATTTCTTATGATTTATTCAGGAAATCAGGACTGTGGGAGGTGCTGCTCCAGCACATTCTGAAGGCATCCAGCACTTACACTTAGCACAGTACTCAGCACATTGCTTTCAACTGTCCACTGTAAGCGCATAAACTGTCTATAATCCCCACTCCTTGCATACAGCCTGGTACACAGTAGGATTCCAGTAACTGGAAGGAAGATAGGACAGTCTATCCTCAATTCTTGATTGACCCTCACAAATGCAAGCTGTTGATTACAATGAAAACCAGAAAAATACAGAATTCCATTAATATAAATTCACCATTGTATTGGAAAGTTCATTTAACATGATGACTATGAAGGAAAGACATTTTCACTATAAGTATAGGTACATAGGTGATACTAAGTTGAATAACTATATTAATGCAAAAAATAAATTGAATTGAGATGAGAAATTACTAATTACAAACCAAAATTCTGGTACCTATCTCAGAAATTCTCCATTATTTTGCACATGCTCCCACGGAATTTTTCTTTCTTTTTTTTTTGGTGGTAACAGGGATTGAACTCAGGACCTTGTGCTTAAGAGGCAGGCACCACACCACTGAGCTAAATCCCCGGCCCTCCCACAGATGATTAACAGGCCCTCTTCTTAGAGAAATATACCAAAATCACTACAGTGGACAAAATTTTCAAGCTATAGCTATATCAAATACACCAGTATTCAGCTACTGTTGCTGAAATGTCCACTGTGGTAGGAAAAGGATGATAACCAGTCCACAACAGAGCAAAGAGAAGTATCAAACAACCTGATAAACAACTGATAATCAAAATGCTATCTATACTATAAAATTAAAAGGCTGAAAGTTACAAAGTTGCAGGGGAAGGAGACTGACAGTTTAGGAAAAAAATCTAAAATATCACAGCGAAGTGTTTACCAACAAGTCAGAAAGCTAGAACAAAACAAGACAGATGAAGTTAAGTCGGAGTCTATAAGTTGTTAAGGGTGGAAGGAAATGGACGCAACTTTTGCTCTGAGGAAAGCAACTGAGACCCTTCGACTGGAAGATATTTGAGTAATGATATATATGTCAAACTATTTCTAGGGGCTTGAACCACAAAGTTGAAAAATGGAGGACTGACTGGGCATGTAGTTCAGCAGCAAAGCACTTGCCTAGCATGTGTGAGGCCCTAGGTTCAATTGCCAGTACCAGAAAAAGAGGGTACATTTTATTCTAGACAGACTAAACACTGATGATTTCTGAAGTGGGTAATCCTTGTGTGGTTAAAGTGATACTGTGGGAAAGACTAACCAAAGGGTCCTAAATAGTATAGATTACGAGGTGTTGAAAATGGCTGCAGAGAAACCAATGATGAATGACAAAATGAACAGGTGATGCGATATTAACCAAGAAAAGTGCTATGAAACACTAAAAGATCAGAAATTGTGGGGATGGAGTAAAGTTATTGCATGTATTATCTATGCATCATGTTAATACAAACAAAAACATCATTTGACGATAATTTTAATTTACAAGGCCCACTTTCCTTTTTGTTGTATTTGAATGTTCCTTGAGTTTTGCTCTAGAAAGGCCTAACGCAATCTAACAAGTTTAAAAAAAAAAAGCTTAATTTCCAAAAACCACATATACTAAAATATCTTTACAATATTTTTATAGTACTCTTTCAAATGTTTTACATAGCAGTATTACTTAAGTAGGACTTTGACTTTTATATTTAACGGAGGTTGTAGGAGAAATGTTTGTTCAGCACTTAGGGTCCACTATTAAAGTGTAAATCAAGCAATAACGTACCTCAGAACTGATAATTAAATGTGGTAACTATCAAGGGGTTGTTATGGTTGATTCTTCGTGACTGAAAAGTTATTAGGACAATTCCACCATATCATACAGTAGCTGTCGTAAAACTTTTAGTTATAAAGGTTAAGGGATGTCCGAGTAAATAAGGGACGCACCACCGGCAGATCAGGATGTCACTATACTAACCAGGGTGCCGGTAGTGAGGAATCGTGACTAAGAGCCTTGAATTCCGACACACCCACACTCACCACCACCGCATTCACGGGGTGGGTGTGCGGCCCGAGGGCTTCAGCCTCCGCGGGACTCTCCCAGGGGCGCCGAGTCTCCTGGCCCAGGCCTCCAAAGCTTAGGCTCGTGGGGACGGTCCACCCCCGGGGTCCCCAGACTCTCCCGCTCCAGCCCCCTCCCCGCCGAGAGGCGTCCGAGGAGGGCGGAGCCTGGACCGACTCGCCAAAAGGGCCGGTCCCGTACCTGTGCGGAGGAAGGGAGGCTGCGTTCGCGCGCCGTGACATTCATGCGGCCGTGATGCCAGGCCGCTCCTGCCCCTGCCAGGGCCACGCCGGCCAGTGCCGCCGCCGTAGGACCCGGGCTCGACACGGCCCGTCGGCTGACAGCAAGCCCGCGCCGCAGTCTTCCGCCCCACACCGCCAGCCGGGCGGTAGCGCCTGCAGCCGCCGCCATCTTTACGGAAGTGCCAGAGTGCAGCGCTCCGCCCCCTCTCCCCTCCCTTGACCTGAAAGCAGCCTGGCTATCGCGAGACCTCGTGGCCTCCACCTTGCCTCCGCGTCTCTGTGCTGTGCGAGGTCCTTAGCGCAAAGGGCAGTCCCAAGCGATTGGGGTTGGATTGGATGGAACTGTGTGAGAATAGCGCAGACAGATCTCCCTGATCCACGCAAGTGCCTATATTCCTAGGCAGCTCTGACTGCAGGAGTAGACTAAGAGGAGAAGGAGCAAGGGCCAAGGGTAGATAATAAAGTGAGCCAAATTAAATAGATTTACAGGACAGTTTCGTTTGCAGAACTCGAAGATAGCAGTGAGTATTTGATCAAGAGTCTTGGCGTCTTTCATTCGCCCAAGAGGACATGTGTTGTTCTATGTCTAAGGAAATCCAGTGTGTGGTGGGTCCGCGGAAGCTGGAGAGAACAGCACTGCGGTCTGAGACAGGCACTTATGGCAAAATAGGTGTTAGTTGTGATTCACAGCATGGTCTTTTTTTGTTTTGTTTTTTGAGACAGGGTCTCACTATGTAGTTGAGATTGACCTGGAACTCACTTTGTAGCCCAGGCTGGTCTCGAACTCACAGCGATCCTCCTGCCTCAGCCTCCCAAGTGCTGGGATTACAGGCGTGCGCCACCAAACCCAGTGGCATGGTTTTAATACCTAGTAGAATACCATCCCGAGGTGGCTGAGTTGTGACACCGAAAAAGTCTACACTTTCACATCCTTATATTTGCTCTAAAAACAAGTCTTTCTACATTAAGAATTTATAAACAAAACTTTCTTTCATTTATATAAACCTCAGGTATCTTTTCACAAGCAGTGTAAAATAACACCAACTTGCCTAGCACCTGGTAAACTATTCTTTTTTAAAAAAAGTATTGTTCTACTTATCCCTCTTTTGCAGCCAAGAAAAAAATTTGATTAATTAATTAATTTGTTCTTTTCCTGGCATTTATTATACATATACCTAGTATTTTTTTTTCTTTTTTCTGAGAGAAAGTCTTCCCCAGTGAACCTTCTCAGGTAGGATATAGACACAAAGTCACTGTGAAGACCTCCAAGTTTGAATTCTACTTTATCAGAATGATAACTGTGATTTGGGATAAGTTAATCTCTCCAAGTTTCAATAGTTCTCATCTATAAACAACCTTCTTTCTTCAGTTTGGCATAAGGAGATTAAATGGAATCATTTATGTGAAGTAACTAGCCTGGCACATGGTGGCCTCAAACAATTGAGAATTTTTCTTCATCAAGATTTGGTCTAGCTTTTACTTTGTGATTACAAATGAATTTGGTTGAGGGGCTGGGGATTTAGCTCAGTGGTTTCACTGTGTGCCTTGTAAGCACAAGGACCTGAGTTCAATACCCATGTGGGGGGGGGGGGGGGGGAAGAAACAGGAAAAACAAATGAACCTGACTGAATGTTTGTGATTCTAGACCTTTCATCCTTCTTGACTTGAGACTTCCTGTTTTTTTATATATCTACTCTGATCACGTGGACCTCTGTTTTATTTTCATCTGGGCCTGGGATTTAGCTCAGTGGTGCTGCCACTTGCTTCGCAAGAGCAAAATCCCGAGTTTGATCCTGGTACCAAAAGAAAAAAATAGTTTTAGCCTATTGGGGCTGGAATTTGGCTTAGTGGTTCTGCCACCTGCCTCGAAAGTGCAAGGGCCCAAGTTCGAAACCTGGTACCCACCCACAAAATGTTTTCACCTCTGCTAATCTTTGTAGTTTTGGCATATGTTCTGCTTTTCTAGATTATTGAAGTTGAGCTTGTTTCTACTGGCTGGTAATTATAGAATTTCTAGGATATGTTTGTTTCCATATATCTTATCTTTTAGCTTATTCTTGGTATAGAGAAACCATAATCTTTGTCAGTCTTCTTCCAATTATCCAATTCACACCATTCCTCTACCTAGTAATAAAACTCAGCATTTATAATCATGGCCCCAAACCCCAAATTGGTGCATATGTCTTATTCAATCATTTGGCATATTTTAAAATATTCCATTTCTCCTACAGTTTGACATCCTTGTGGATGAGAATCTTATTTTTCTTTGTTGAGCCATATGCAGAAAGTAAATATCTGGCACACATTAGACATTCAGTGAATAAGAAAATGAACATGTAGCACAAAGGAAATTCTAAGCTACCCTTTTCTAAGTTTTGGGAATCAACCATACAGGAATACATTGCTTTTTTTTTTTTTTTGCAATTACTTTTTCAAGACAAGAGTCTCATTTTAAATTGTTGTTTTTTCTTTTCTTTTTTGCTGAAAATCTGAACCTATTTGGAAAACTGTTCCTTGTAATTAGTTTGTTTTCATGTTATATGCCAGGCTTCTAGAAGTCCCACTTGAGATTTAATGTATTCAGACTTTTCTCTAGCTGGCTAACCATTCAATATATAAGCTCTTCCCTGGCAGCTGCTGACATTTGTCTAAGTACATGGACTATATCAGTCATCTTGTATGCTGGTTTTATCCATTTCTTCTTCACCAGCTGAAGAGCAAGTCCTAGGATGGGATGTATTTTCAACCAGGTACTTTATGCAACAGTCTCCAAATAAGGAACTACTGCTTTTCAAGCTCTAAGACCTTGGCTATTTCAGATGATAATTGAAGAAAAACAGAATGAAAATAAGGATAGTTTCAAAATATCATTCTTTTTATTTCCATTTTTTAATTTTGGAACAGGGTTTTGATAAATCACTTAAGTTTCCCAGGCTGGGCTTGAACCTGTGATCTTCTTGTCTCAGCATCTCATAATACTGGGATATAGACATGTGCCACTATGCCTGGCATTCTTAATTCACTAACTCTGTTCTTTTTTCTCTGAAGGAGAGGCTGTTATAGTTTAGATTTAAAATGCCTTCCAAAAGTCTTATGTGTTCAGAAGTGGGGCTTTTGGATCATGTAGGCACTGTATTCATTGGTGGATCAATAGTTCATAGGCAAGTATGCATTAGGAGGTATGGCCTGGTTAAAAGAAATGGGTCAATGGCGATGTGCACCTCTCTTCTCTCTCAACTTCTCTGCCCCCACAGGTTGAGCAGCTTTCCTTCACCATACCCCTCCACTGTGCTGTTTCTCTCTAGAAGCCAGCCACATGTGGACTGAATGTTCTGAAACCGCAAGAGAAACCTCTCCTCCTTTAAGTTGGTGGGATTGGGTATTTTGTCTCAGTGAGAGGAAAGTGACTATACAGTGACAAAAGTGATATGGCGGAAAAACTGTCCTCAAAGAGCTTTATTTTCATAAGAAATACTAGGCCTGAATTTCAAAACCATGCCAGATAGTTTTTAACCATTGAATTGCATGGAGGGAGAAGGTGTGGTGGGCTGAGCTGTAGAGAAAGTATGTAGAGAATGGGGAGATGTGATGTGGATCTTGGTGGTGTTTGAGGGAGGCCCTCTAAGATAGGAGGAGGGGTAGGGCTGAGAATGTGGAGAGGTTGAGATACAGTGCATGTTTACCAGGCATGGAGCAGAAGAGATGATTTGGGCCTGGCCTAGAATGTCTTGGTGACCAGGTGATTTCCATAGTATCTACAGGCATGTGCCACTTAAAAATGAGATATTCTGCTGGGCATGGTGGCACACATCTATAATTCCAGAACTCTGAGGGGCTGAGGCAGGAGGATCACAAATTCAAGCTCAGTCTGTGGCAAAACAATCCCCCAAAACAAACAAAAAACCTCTACAAAAACAAAACAAAACAAAACAAAAAAAGGCTGGGGATATAGTGTAATGTGAAAGCTCTGGATTCAATTCCTAGTACTACTGTGGGGGGTAGTTCTGAAAAAATGCATTGTTAGGCAATTTTGTTAAGAGAACATCACAGGATGCTAGATGGTGTAACCTACTACACACTGGGCTGTATGGTACAGCCTGTTGTGTGTAGGGCCACAACGATCAAAGTGTTATTTTCTCCTGTTCTTGATTTAATCTCATGATGTAACCATGAGATGTCTGAGGCTCCTTCCAGCAGAAACTGAGACACACGGTTTACAGTAGCTTTTAAAAATATAATAGCAGGAGGACCGGGGATTTAACTCAGTGGTTCCACCGCCTGCCTTGCAAGTGCAAGGTCCTGAGTTCAATCCCTGGTACAAAACCGAAAAATAGTAGGAGTACATGTTAAAATAACAATTAAAATATAATACAGTAGATACGTAAGCCATAATGCTGTTACTTAGCATCATTATCAAGTGTTATAATTATGTAATGATATGTGCCATACCTTTTATACGATGGGCGGTACAGGAGGTTTGTTTATACCAGCATCAACATGAGTGTGTGACTAATGTGTTATAGTACAACAAAAGTTGGCCGTGGTAGCACTAGGTGATGGGAATTTTTCATCTCAGTTATAGTTTTATAGGACCACTGTTGAATACACTGTGTGGTACATGACTGTACTGTGTGTCAGCCCTCTTGACCCTTTACACATCACTTCTTGAACCCATGACTATGACTCCTTTCCCGCTCTTCCCCCATTTTGTGGCTGATCTCCTCCTCTACACTCAGACTCTTGGTCCCATGTTTGTTTTCTGCCTGCCCAGACTTTCTCTTGACCTTTTCCACCCACAATCCACGGGTTTCTCTATATTATCTTCCTTCCTCCTGACAACCAACACTTTCATTTCCTGTAGAGTGCTGGTCTTAAGCAAAAAAGATCAATTACTTCTCCCTAAAGACAGTATTGTATTTTAGAATATTTATTGTATTTTAGTTATGAACTCAAATGCATCTTTGATCTTACCATGTGTGGGAAAGAATAATAGAAATTGTGATCTAATTTTCAAAGACTGTTTACTGTTATATTATGGATGAATGTGCATTGATTGTGTTTTTGGTGAGAAAAAATGGGGGCATCTAAATGATAAGTTAAAGGCATTGGATTCAGTCCTATATTAATGGTAAGTGAATGGGCATTATAAGGAGCCATTGCTTGGAATAGACAGGTTGAACTA